TATATATATATATATATATATATATACACATACCAATATGTAATATATATTGTATAATATTGTATAAATATATAAATATTATATATTTAACAAAATAAAAAAGTCATAATTAAATTAAAAAATGTTATGACAGCGATTATATATAGCCAAATTTTTAAAGAAAAGCAACCAAATCCATATAAAATAATAAAATTATTATATAACAGTATAATACAATTAATTTCGCGAGGTAAAAGGAATAAAAATATAGAAAGAAATGAATGAAAAAGAGAAACAAGAACGTCATCCAAGATATAATAATATGGGATTATTTATGTAACTAGATATCCTATTCAAGACTTAAATTTATCTCGATTTGATTGAAATTTCAAGTTTATTGTGATTCAAATATTTTCATTGTCTTATCCTTGATTTTTATATCTTTAATCATTATACTCTGATAATCATTTTTTAAAGAATATTGTTAAAGACTAAAACCTAGTCTACAATAGCCATAACATAAGGCTGTAAGGCTGTAAAGCGCGATTGTAAGAATCTGCTTCTGGTTTAATGAAACATAACTAAGATTACATAATTAAGATAACGTAAGCGAAATAAATTATTTTCATTTCTTATGTTTACGTTGACCAATTAGAAACAGTAGTATGAAAAGCGTGCTGTTTGTTAGGATTAGTATTGTTACGTGGGAGATAGATATTATGGACTTACAATCTTATGTTGTGTTATTGTAGACTAGGCTTTAAGGAAATAAGGGTATACTGTATTATACTGTCAATAGCTACTTAAGCTGTCATGAATATATTCCAAAACAGGTAATGTAGCCTTTAGCTTGACAGAATATTTATGTGCCCTTACTTTGAGATCGTTTCGCGATTTTCTTGTTTCAATGCCGGTCTCTTTCTGGGTGTCTCTACCCAATCTTTATCATCTTTGTCATCACTACCACCAGATGATTGTATGTTTGTCGGCGTTGTTGCCACCGTCACCGTTGGAATGTTTGATGACGGCGCCGGTCGTTTGCGTGACGGTGGACGTGGCGTCGTTGCCGCGGGTGAATTATGAGTCTGATTACTAGCCACAGAATTCTCTATGCCACCTTTCATTTGTTTTTCCTGGTAACGTTGCAATTGCAACAATTTCTCCTCTATCTCCGGATTTAAATTCTCTTGTTTTAAAGCATTTTTAATCGCTAAAATTAAAGATAGATAAAAATATGTAGGATAAAAAAAATAAAGAATATTTTTCAAAAAAGAACAATTCACAGGAATGTTTTATCAAGATTTATAAATTTTTTTTTTTAAAGATTTCCTTGCATTGAATTAATAAAAAAGTTAACGAATTTTTGTTTTATAAAAAATACTTAAGAAAATTGATTTGCATAAGAAATACATTTTTAAGAAAATCTTATGATGTAAAAACTATTCCTACTTAAAAACTTTACTTAAAAACTTTTGCATAAATACAACTTATGTATATTTCTTTATATACTTACTTTGTTGAATATAATCTGGCGTTAATATAAATTTATTGGGCGAAGAGTCATTTCCTTCTTTCAGCGCCTGCGAAGGTTGTTGTCCGTTGGCTATATTTGTCTTTTGTATATCATCTTCTGTCACGTTCGCCACGCGTCCTACTTGTTGAACAACTACTTTCGGTTTGTCCGTCGACTTTGGCGTTGTCGCTTGCGGAGTTTCTGGAATGGTTTCATTGGCGCTTCGCGATTCTAATAAAAAAACGATTTATACAATATTGCAAAATTAATAATTGTCAAAATTTTAGCTATTTTTTCATAAGAATTTTTAATTCTAAATACTCATTTGATATTAATATTTGATATTTGTATTGATATTTTATATTTTATAAATAATAACAAAGTGTTTACATACCAGTAGTAGACGATGGAGAAATTACAGGCTGTTGTTTTGAAGTTGACACCGGAGTACTCGCAGCTGATGAAGCCTGCGTAGTCTGAGGTTGCTGTTGTGATTGCTGATTATTGGATGATTGGGCTGGTTGAACGGCCAAGTAAATCTTTGTGGGTCCTAAGACACCCTGTTTGCCGGTTGCTGCATGCGCTAAAATTAATTCCATAATTTAATTTATTATCTAGAGAATTTATTATCTAGAAAGTGATAAATAAATTGTGCGTGCGTGCGTGCGTGCGTGCGCGCGCGCGCGCGCGTTGTGTATGTGTGTCTCTATATTCTCAAAACCAACCTTTAAGAAGCTGCTGCTTCACTTGTTGCTGCACCATGTTTAATTGTTGTGGCGTAAAATCTGCACCTTGCAAACCTTGTAGCACAATTCGCGGACCTTCAGCTGTCTGAATAACTTGCGCTGTTACGCATTTAATTATCGTGCCGGGTGGTTGTCCTGCCAGTAAAGAAGCCTCAATACTTCCTGGAACTGGAGTCGTGGTGGAACTCTGAGTGGTTGTCACTGATGCGGTGGAAGTTGCCGTTAGGAATTCGCGGTGGTTGGTGTTGTACTTGTATTTGTCATTCGTGGTTGATTGCGCAATCGTTGAAGTTTGCGGGGTTTGCAAAGCTAAAAGCATTTGTTTTCAGTGAATATAAGTTTTCAAAAACTATAATTTATAAAAATATATGTATATATAATAATATATTAATATATCTTTTTCTGTTAAAAGCATTTTTCAAAAAATTTGTTAAGTTTTTATTTAATTAACTTATTTTTCTTTTAAAAAAGCATAAAAAATTATTTAGAAAGACAAACCTTGTTGCTGTTTGGCGGCGACGGTACCTTTTACGATAAATCCACCATTAGTTGAGTTTACATGTACAATTTGGTTGGATGCATTACGTATCACTACTTGATTGCCGATTGCAGTCAACTGAGCCTTGCCTGATGCCAATTGTTGAACGAGATTTGCGTTTGTGACCACTATCGGATTGCCGCTTATTACTTGTCCACCAGAAGATATTACCTATATTTTTAAATAATAAATGTATGTATAATACTTTATAATTAATTCTAGGATTCATGAACGTGTAAACTTTTCAAATTTTGCAATATCTATATAATTTTCGATATCAAGTCTTTTTGTCTTCTTGTAACTTCTGAAAAGTTAAATAAAATTTTTTGTTTCGACAACACTGAATTTAAATATTTAGTTGAAAAATGTAAATAAAAAAGAATGAATTGTAACTCATTTCGGGAATAATAAATTAGTACATTCGAATCGTTTTATGATTTAATCGGAAGAGTTAATCACCTGCGCGGCTTGTCCTGCATTAGTGACCATAATGGCATTCTTCGTCGGTGTAACTGATGTATTGGGTGCCAGAGTCATAGTTGTAGATTTTACGCGTTGGACAGTCTGCACCACCTGTGTTTGTTGTGGCGTTTGCGCTTGTTGCGTTGAATTCGCTGTTGTTTTTGTCGGACTGGTCTTAGTTGCAGTCGTGTTCTCTGATGTCGCCGTTTTCGCCGTGCTAACCACAGTTTTTGCCTAAAATATATCAATTATAACATTTACACTTTTGTAGATTCATATCGATCTTGATTTATTATATTTTTTTGTAAATTCAATTATTTCACTTATTGGTTCTATGTGCCAAATATTGATTTCTATTATACTATTAAATATACTTGTTTTATGTGTTCCGCTTTGCACATTAGAATGTTTTCGAGAAATGTGTTTTTGAGTGGATTACCTGTGTAGTGGTCGTGGAGGTTGTAGAATTTGTTCGAGTGCCTTGTGCAGGCGAAGTGCTCACCGTATGATTAACGTTCAGTACATGCAGTTTCCCGTCTGGCATCTGGACCAACTGCTGACCGGGCAACAAGCCACGTACTTGCAGCTTTCCGTCCGGACCTCTCAGAATTTGCACTCTTTGCTGTACTTGTACAGGTGAATTAGTAGCTGAAAAGATATTAAATTAAAATAAAATCTTTTAAAAAGAGACTTCACATATTGTTTTAATTTTTTGTGAAAGTGAAAGAAAAACTTTTAGCATTATAATTAATATTGTTAGTGATACGTAAACTTACTTGTTGGCGTCACTCTGATCAAAGATTGTTGATTTAATCCCTGAGCTTGTGGTGTTTTTGGTAAAATACTAGTAGGCCCAGATACTACCTTAGTAGTTCCGTCAGCAGCTGAAATAAAATAAACAGGTCACGTAAGATCAATTTGTCATATAATCTTCGTGTTTAGAGATAAAAATAAATGACTCACATTTCGTCATATAAATTCGCCGTGTACCGATGAAAGTTTTATTTTGCGTAGGTGTAGTCAAAAGAGATGTCAGCTGCGACTTTGTGCTATTGGGGTTCGCCGGAATCGCAACTTTCGAAACCAATTTAACGGTGCCATCTGAAAGTAATATAATCTCATGCAATACAATTCTCGTAACGATTCATTTTGTTAACGAATAATCTGTATTGTTAAATACATCACGTGTACATTCTTCTGCTATACAAATTTATTTATATATGTATGATTTGATCAATTTACCATGGGAGGAATTAGCTGTAACTTTGACGAGCTGAGTGGCAGGTGATGTCGAGTTTGTAGATTGATTCTTTAAAGTCTCTAGAGCACGCTTTTGCTGATGGGCTGCTCGCTGCATACGCAACTGCTGTTCCATTTTCTCCTTGATCTCCTCCGGTGTTGCTTTGCCACTTACGAGCTGGTCGCCAGTCAGACCGGTTGTACCACTAGTGGCGGCAGTAGTGACAGTTTTGTTGCCGCCGCTGATGATCACTGATTGCGGTGCTCCCGAGCGACTCCTAGTAATAATCTGCGCATTAGCCTTCTCTAACCTGGAGACAGGACAGACACACCAAGCGGAGGGTTAGTTTTCAATGGAAGAAAGAAAGCAAGCGGTTAAAGGTTCAGCGATCAAACTCATGCTTCCGATTTTATCGTCGGCATAAATTTCAAGAGCATAAACAGAGATGTGTTTCAGTAGGATAATTTGTCGTCTTGGAAATAAAAATCAAAGGAGAGACAATAGACATTTTACAAAACAATAAACATTTTCAATTTTCTAAGATGTACAATAATTGAAGAGAGCTTTTTTGAAAAGATTATATTATTATTAAAAAGAATAATCTATTACAAATCTGGATAAATTTTCTTTTAATTCGATTTCTTTTTTATGCAATAATAAAAAAATTTTTGATTCTGAAATTTAATAAAATTTGATAAATCTTTTGACTACAATTTAAATTATTAAACTAAATTATTTCAGAATTTTCGATTATCTAAAAACAATCGTTAACATTTAATATTCCTTAATTAGAATTTGAGAAATTCAATGAATCAATCATAGGATAGCAAAGATAAAAAGTATGTTTAAGAGAGAGAATTTCATAAATATTAGCAACACACAATTACATGCAGATATTTCATTATCAAACACACGTTGCAATTATTCTTAATCTGTACCTGTCGCCGTATTGTTTAATCTCCCATAGCTCCAATTTATCTTCATCAACCCATTCCTCAGAAACCTGTGGTTCGGTGCTCTGCGGAGATTCCGGGCGTTTCCTTTTTCGTAGACCACTCCTTATGGATGTTACCTCTGCAAAATTTTTATGTGCGATGTGAATATATAACACAGAGTGCGAAAAGCATATTTTCATCTTGTATACAGTTATAATAGAATGATAACTTAATGATGAGCTCTGTGATTAAGAATTTATGTATTATTTTCCATACAAACCTCTGACTTGCTTTGGAAGTTCGAGTGGTATAACAACTTTTCTGCGTAGATACTGAGTCCTGTCGAGGAACTGCCCGACGTGTCGATGCTTCAATATTTCCAGCGACATAATCTCCGTATCAGTAGTAATTTGATTTTTACCATCGGTAGACAATGGCTTGGCCGCCATGTCATCCCACCTGAGACACGCCCAGAGTATTCTCAGCTGAATCGCGGCAGCGGCAAGCGATTTCAGACCAACTGTTCTGTATAACCAGCAAGTCTTGAATAAGGGTCTGGGGCATGGATATGGCCACACCGACAAATTTGCCTTGGCCTGATGGTGAAATCCTTGCACGGGTATTTTACCGCCGACGCGGGATAATTTCCTCAACTCGTGCTGAGGAAGTACCAATATACTCCGTTGTTTGTTCTTAGTGCAAAATGTCGAACAGAGTGGATATTTGACTGGTGTGCGTTTCTTCTTACGATCGGCCATCGTGGATGTTACTTTCTTTAAGTAGACTTTACCTTCTGTTGATATAGCCGTATATATCCGTTCAGAACCGTCAGCATGTAATTCTTTGACGAAGGTACTTCGCTGTACCGTTCTGCCTCTACGGTTTACGATCATCACCGTCTTAGCACCGCTTTTGTTCATTGTTGTGGTCGTAGTTTCCGACGAAGAGACAGTCATGGAATTACGATTAACGGCAGAACGTTCCTGCACCACGCCATCCGCAGTCTTTGTCGTCTGTTGAGTCGTTGTAATTGTTGTAGTAGTCGTAACAACATTACTCGTTGTGACGGTCGTCACTGCAGCGTTCTCGCTTGTTTTATTTTCAAGCTTGATTTTTTTTGAAGGCGGTGAAGAAGTGGCATCTTTCAACTTCGTCACATTAGTCGCTGCTTCTTCGTTGCAGTGAGTCGCCGACGCCACTGCTGATTCTAAATCTCGTCTGATCGCATCTTTTGTTTCGTCCGAAGTTTTCGTTTTCACAGAAGCTACGGTGACTTGCGACGAGGGCGATGAAGAAGAGGATTGATTGTTGTTTAGAGCATTCGCTTTGTGTATTAGCGCAATCAGATCGCGTTTTATCTGCATCTTTCGCATGCACAAAGGTGAATAGCAGGTATCGATGATATTCGTAGTGATGACTTGTGCATTAATGATATTATTTTTATTGGTAGGGTTGTTCAAGTTACAATAACGCGAGTAACACCCGCCGCTCTTGCAGAGCTTCGAGGCATTCGCGTATTGCAAGCGCACCTGTTGAATGCGCTTAGTGATCGCTGCTAGCATTTCTTTCGTGGATGCAGACATGGTTACTGCCATTTTGTTCACTCGCTGCTGTTGTTTGGACGATGATAAAAGAGAAGCAGCATCACCGCCACCGCCAACAGCGCTATTATTATCTGCGTCGTTCTCTTCATGATTCTCCATATCGACCTCCGAGGAATCGCCATCTCCACCTTTCTGATTTGGCGTTTGACTTGATTCTTTCGTTTTTACCTGTAAAACAAATATTAATTGTAAAGCTATCTCTAAAAATAATAATATAATGTTTATAATATTAATATTTTCATCTTAGTTGGAATGTAGATCGTTGTCAGAATTAAAATATAGATAAAATATAGATAGTTATAAAATATCAAACGAAATAAAATTTTATATATTATTTAACAGAAACTTACAGATTGCAATTTTCTTTCTTCTAAAAGCTTCAGATGTGTTCTACGCGTCAAGAAGTCGTCGATCCTTGTTTTTTTCGCTGTTTTTGGATAGTGCAATCTTCCAGCCGTGGTTAGCGCCTTACTGATATTGATTTCTTCAAACTCAGTAATTGGGGTAAAAACTTTTTCAATTTTCATGCCAGCTAAAACTAAATAGAGATTCTTTTTATTAATATTTCTTACGAATAAAGTACGAATTTATTTTAAAAATATTCTTAAAATTATTTTACGTTAAATTATCTTAATTATATTTTTGAAAAATATTTTTATATCCAATAAAGTTAATATGTTTACGAGTATTATCCGTGTTATTATATATTGTTAAATGCCAACATTTCGTGAACATTGCAGTTCACTTTATCAGGGCGAAGAGCAGCCTGATATATTACAGTATAGACTGCTATATATATAATACCGCAGTATAGGCTGCAATATATATAATACCCGTAAACATATTAACTTTTTTGAAAACAGTAATCGTGGAAGCCTTAAAAGCATTATTTTATATCCAATTTATAAATGTACGTATTCGTTACATACATGACAGATTCATCTTCGTTTCTTGTTTGACTGATTGGGATTCCGATTTTACCGATGCAGAAGAATCAATGCCGTTCGTTTCATTATCAGTCGTAGGCTCCTTTTTTATATTTTCTGCATTACACTCTTGTTTTACGGTATTATTTTCTGCTTCTTCCTCTTTGATTTCTTGTTTCACAATACCATTCTCCGTCTTACTTGGGCAGTACTCTTTGATAAGAAATTCATAAGTGGGTGGATCTAGTGCGAGTATCTTTAGACCACCCTGATCCTTTATCTGTACCATAATTTTCTGTGGACCGGCACGTAAGCCCATCTTTGTCGCGTCCGAAAATCGGTAACGTCGTCTAGCCGATATCCATAGCCAACCACCCTGGCCGTGCACCCGGTACTCTTCGCCCTTTTGCTTCCACACCTGATGTTTCAGACCGAGTGTGTATTTGACGAAGTTGAAGAGCCGATTACGTTCCTCTTCGTCCTCCTTTTCCTTTTTCTCCTTCTTGTCTTGACGCTTTTTCTCTTCACGCTCGAGTGCAGTTACTCGTTGCAGTTTCACATGACCAAGTTGGTCATGCCACACGCTCGCGAATACGACAGATTTGATACACGCCTGTAGAACGATAAGAGTACGCGCAAAATCCCGCGGATTGACGCAGGCACCCACTGCTGCTGTCCATGGTTTGCGCAACAGTGGCCAATTAGTGTGCATAAACGACGCCTGAATATTGCTTTCGAGCTGCAAGATCGTTTGCCGTAAGGTACTGACTAACAAAGCACGGGTGCCCGTTAAACTGCCCACCCATTTGAACTCCGATGCTTGCGTGAGCGAAAACTTGTGCGACAAGTGACGCTTCTTATCGCGTTCTTCGTTTCTCTGCGTCTTATTCAATGCGATGGGATTGGTAGTATACTGATTAACGTATGACTTAAAGTTGTTATCCATGCCCAATTTAAATAAGTGCGTGCCAGATGCGATCTGATGTGCTTTCTGACGTGTTACTCTAGTATTGTTGTCATTTTCAGAATCCTTTAGACTTTTATCTAATTTCTCTTGCTCCTCTTTCGACAATGGTGCCATACTTCGTCTCTTTAGATCATCCATATTAAAGGTTCGCGGTTGCAATGAACCAGTTTTCGATCTTGTCACGATAGTATGCTTTTTGCCTGAAAGAAAAGATTATTGTAAACATGATAAAATATCACATATTATTGACATATATAAAATTTCAATATTTCATAGAAACACAATAAAGAAAATAATTTTTTGTCAACAAAACCAATAAATTCTAATTAATTGATAACTTACCATCTTTACCAATTTTCTCCTCGCCTTCTAATGTGTCTTCGTCGATATCTTCAGAGGATGATGTTGAGGCGCTAGTTTTCGTAGTTTTGTCCATATTTGTCGATACATCGGTATCAATCTCAACAGTTTCGCTAACTACTTCGGGTACTTGTGTAGCTGAAGTCGATTCTTCACCAGATACCTTCGTTTCATTCTGCTCTGTTATTGTCGTCGTATTCTCCTCGACAGAATCAGTATTCTCATGCATTTTGCGTATCATTTCTTCCGCTTCCTGTTTCTCCTTTTCTTTTTTCTCTTCCTCTTCTTTTTCTTGTCGTTCTTTTTGTATTTTTTGTATAAGATCTAAAATAAAATTTCAATGACAAAAATTATTGTTTATAATGCATTAAAATCATATCTAAATTGTTATACTTTCAATATCAATTACTTAGAAAACAAAAACAATAAATATTAATCTGTTTGATCCAAAGAACGCTGTTAATTAAAAAAAATTACTCTTACTGTTTTCTGTTTCCAAATATGATTTCTTATTTCCTTTGAATTGATTAGTAATGGTTTCTGTAAGTTCCATTTGTCGGACTATTTCTTCTTTGTAATCCGACAATTCGCGATAAAGCGCTACTTCCATTTCGTTTTGATCTAATGCAAGCATCAGCTCTTCTAATTGTAAAGGTGTACTATAATACCATACTTCGCCATCTTCACTTTCACTAGAAGATCAAATCAGAATAAAAAAATTTAAAAGTTGTTCACGTATATTCTATACATACATAAATAAAAACTTGTTTGGTTTTTGCCTCTTTACATCTGTTATAAATTTAATCTGTTTAATCTGTTATAAATTTTACATTTATAATTTCTTATTAGAAATATACTTATAAACTCTAAGATATAAATTTTTATGAAGTTTTTTTTCGAAAAAATACAGAAATATAAATTGTTCTCATAAAATTGTACTTACAAGGTGTCCCAACTCTTAATATTTCAAGAGTGAAAGAGGATGGAATTTTTAATTAAAAATTCCTTTTCCAATTTTGGCTCAGACCATTATTTATCGAGTTATTAACGATTAAAGTTGATCAATCAGATTGCGTCCAGCCGGAGTGCACAGAAGCATAGTGTGCTTTAAGACCCCTCGCGCTTTCTGTACATTCTTTCGATTACAATTTTATTCTAATTTGTTATGGATACAAAAAAAGACTACTGGCAAAAAACATTATCAAAATAAATTATTTAAACGATTTCTTCAAAAATTGTTTTGACATGTATCATGTATGGTTCTTACATATTTTTTTTTTGTAGAAATCGATGGAACTATTAGTTTCCAATTAAAATTAATTTTTTTAAGAAATTGTTTAAACAAATTGCTTGTGAAAAATTTATTTTAATTATTTCATAACGTTGGCATGTATGATTCTTACATATTTTTTCTTTCAATTCGATGGCGTTATCGTTTTAAAATTCGAAATTAACCAATAAATAATTTAATCTACGTAATTAATTTATTAATTTATTTATAACAATAATTATTAATTTATTTATAATTAATTTATTTATAATATTTATACGTAAGAACCATGACACGTGTAAAAACAATTTTTGAAGAGGTCGTTTTTTAATTTATTTAGAAACAATTTATTTTGATAATGTTTTTTGTCAATAGTCTTTTTCTGCACCTATAATAAATATTCCGTAATTATTTTTTCCCCATCGCTGCTAGGTTAGCTATGAAAATTAAATAATTAAATTGAACAAATGGATTAAATAATTGAATTAAATAAATAAACAAATAATAATAACAAATAAATAAATAATAAATAATATTAAAAAAACAATCAGAAATTTCTAATTGTAACTTTTCTCATTTATTTATTTATCTATTTATTTATTTACTCATTTATTAATTAATTCATTTTATTTATTTATTTATTAATATAAAAAAAATTAGAAAAAAAATTTTAATCGGGAGAATATAAAAAGCACGAGGAGTCTCACAGCACGCCACACTTCTACGTACTCCGGCTGGACGCAATCTGATTGATCAACTTTAATTGTTAATAACTCGGTAAATAATAGTCAAAATTGGGAAAGGAACTTTTAGTTTCTAAAATTCTAAATTCTAAATTCTAAAATTCTTTAAGTTCCTAAAATTCTATCCTCTTTCACTCCTTAAAATATTAAGAGTTATGGAACATTCTGTATATGTGCTTGCAATATAGATACAAAAATAATTTCACAAAATTGTTAATTAAATATGCATATACATCAATATGTCTTACACAAAAACTCTTCTTGCTAAAAACCAATATTTTCTGCCATGTCTGTCGAATCCTAAGTGTTCTTGTCTACATAACGATCCATTTTTTTCAACATCAGGTATACAGTCCACAACACCCATCACTTTGTGGGCTTTACACGTGCTACACTGCCAATCTTCAGTAGGAACATCAACCAATGGCGGTTCTACACATTCTAAATGAAATACAGCTGGGCAAGTCTCGCAACATAATAAATCTCCTAATCGATGACAAACTCTGCAGTGATCATCATAATGCATAGTTCCTGCAAAACATAAACATTGTCTATTCCACATTCCCTCGTGATGAATTTTAAACATTGTAAGGTTTCAAAATTAAGATTTCCAAAATGTGTTGCAAGAATAAATTTTAAGTTTTTATAAAATAGAAAAACAAAGATATTCAACATATATTAGATTCATTCAATAAATCAGAAGTCTACTTTATCAAATACATGTTTTAAATGTAGAGCATTGAGTTTATTTTTAATCTGATACAATTTTGATCAAAAATATGTTATTAGAATAAGTAACTCGATATATCAGCATGGGCACAGCAAACTTTCTCCTTGCTGATTTCAAATCCAATTCATGCTATATTAAATATAAACATGCAAAAACACTGAGGAATATAAAATAGTATTGTATGAAATGCATTTCATTATACCTTCATGTAATAGATCTTCTCTCACAGGATTTGTAATTAAGAACTGATCTGTTAAAAACTGTAGGACCTTGATTCTATCCTCGATGGCAGTAAAAGGATATTCAGTAGTGGTTAAGATCTGTAAAATGTTTTGATCAAAACCCTTATCGCTCTCTACATATGAACGTAGCACTTCCGGCCATGTCATAGAGTCCACGAAGTACAGGCTAACATTCACCGAATCCTTCTGGTCCAATGGACCAAAATGTGTTTGCTGTGAGTCCTCTTCTCGCAATAGTGCCTTGATCAGCATAATATGAATCTCTGCCAGTAAATTAGTCTGATCTTCACAAATAAGTGCAGCACAAAAGTCCTCAAATCTGAAGCAGGAGAGACGTACCAAAGTGCGAAAATGCCTTAGTACTTCATAGATGGAGAGTGACGGCATGACCAATTCTTTGGATACCAGCAGATCATCTGAAGACTTAGGTAATACCAATGGTGGCAATTCTCTGTTTTGGAGCCACAATGGTTCTGGACTAGGTGGCCGCTGTTGACTCAACAATGTTTTCCTGGGAGTACCACTAGTGGTGCTGTAACTAGAGAGTGAGAAATCGCTGTCGCTTGAAGGATCAGGCTCCTCCATGCTCTCGGACGAATCTACATCACTGGGTAATTGCTCTTCCTCTGGTTCGCTCTTTTCGCTGGACTCATCACCAAAATCGGAACCATAATGATATTCAGAATCATGATAATCCACATTGGGATTGTACCCACGTCGTTGATAGGCACCACCACCTGTGGCTCCCGAGTGGCCACCCTTGCGAGAGTGCCTGTCGCGACCGCTCCGCGACTTACGCTGGTTCCGCGTGCTGCGCTTGCTGCTCTCCTCGCTCTCGACCGACGGCGAAGTCGGTCGTGACGCCGTTGGAGTGCTTGGCTGCGAGCCTGGAGTCTCAGCACCGCCGGGAGTACCGGTCCTGTTCTGTAGGTATTTGGGCTTCTTCATCAGGTGATACTGAAACTTTTTCGGTCGCTCCATCACTACAGACTTGGGCGGGCGCCCCCGCCTCTTCGAGCCTCTGCCCGTCATTATTGTCGTAGGTCGCCGTGGTCCTTTTGAGCGTGGTCGCTGCAGTCGCCGCCGACACCGGCGATGTCAACCTCGCGTGTTTCGGGGTACGGGCCCCGCGCGGGGGACCGTCGCGATGGGGGACCTACCTGGCTGCTCTGCTCCTTCCCTCCTACCGCCACTCACCTCGTCGCCACCTCTCGTTTCGTCTCTTCTCTCTCTCTCTCCTCTCCTCTCCTCTCTTGATCTCGCCTCCTCACTCAGCACGTGGCGCGCGTGCTCGCACGCTTGTAAACAAACACAAATGACATCGCCGCGGCAACGAGCTGGTTCCGTCCATGTCCGATGCACTCTGATCTTTGCGCCATTTCTCACGGCCCACGGTCGGTTTCGTGCGGTCACGTGACCAAACACAATCGCCGCGACGCGATGCCTCCGAGGCATGCGACGACGCCGCGCGTCAGCCTAGGTCCGCCTGCCCCGTTCCTCGTTCGGCGTACCACGTTCACCGCGAAAAAAACCACTCGCCAAATTCGAGATAGCGAGATCGGCGACGCGAATTACGCCAGAAGGGGGTCTCTAGCTGCGCGCTATGGCGGCGGTGGCGGTGGCGGTGGCAGCGGCGGCGAACCGAGTCGTCGTTGTGTCGCGTAGTCGTTGTTGAATGGTGGAACTGCACGAGAGAACGGCGCTGCGATTGGCTTAGACATGCTCCGCCATGTCGGCCGTACGGTGCTCGGTGATGATGAAAAAAGCTGTCGGCAGATCGTCACGCACGTTCTAATCCGATTATAATGGCCCGATGATCTCTCCGGAAACGCTGGAGCACGCCAATGGTGTGCGTTACGAGTCGAGCAACGCTCAACCACGTAGATATCCTCGATCCAGCCGAGACGTTCGCAAACTCCAATCGCCTGCACCGTAACTTCCTGCTGCTGGTCCGTCAAATCGACGTATGTGATAGGTGGCAGCACACAGGCGTTCGAAAAAAAATGCAATTTTAATCACAATCCCGCGGTACGGAGCGACCGCGAGAGCTCGTGCAAAATGCAACGCACGAGAATCGTGACGAATATACGCGCGTGGATCGCGATGAAACACCACCGTTTCTTCCTGTGGCGTTATCCGTGAAATCTTCGGAGGACACGATTCCGTTCACGATGCGCGCGATGCCTGTTGCCAGAGGACACTACCGACGACGCGCTGCCGCCATTTTGCACGTATCTCGATCGATAACGCTCGTTTCGCAGGATCGCAATTAATTTTTCGAATCGCGATTAACTAATATTCGCTCTTGACGCGAAATTTCACGAGTCTTGACTTTTCTTTCTTCTTTTTTTCTTTTTTATATTAATCTCGGCAACACACAAGTGCAAGGGTCTCCAGCTTCATAAGCGCTATCTATCATCGAGATTCGAGTCTCGTTCGATAAATCGGGAATCAACAACACGAGAAACGAGTCACAATTTCGTCACTAGAGATGAAAAACGAAAAGAGAACGAATTTGTTGCTCCGAATTTACGAAAAAAAAAAAAAAAAACATAGAAAACGTACAAATTACGGAATTACAGAGATTACTCTTACTGACGGAGTGCCGTCTGTTCGCGCGCCATCTGACGTGGCGGGCGCACGTTGCCGCTGTAACAACGTGCGTGGCGCGGCACGGTAACATGGCCGCCGCCGGCACCGCCATACGGGACTCACGAGTGCGCGAGTGCGGAACGCGTGCGGAATACCGGACTCTTCTGCTCGACGTGCACGGATCGCTCTCGCCACGGGAGTTGCTAAGCGACGATGACGCAGAGATACGTGGACCTGTATCTGGAGCGGCCGATAATCGTGTTACCGGAGACGACTTCGCATCTGAGCGTCATGTACGAGATGCGAAGTATTTACGGACGCCAATTCAAGGAACCATTCCGCTGTGCCGATGTGGTCACCACTGCCGAAGCCACCGTCACCGCCACCGCCACCGTCGCCACCGAGTTTGAGGCCGAGTTGCGCGATGTTAACACGCAGGTTGTCCGCTTTCTGCAGGTTTCTGTCTCGTTTCTGTTTGGGCAGGCTCCGCGGCCGACGATGCACCGCCCGTGTCCGCGCGCGAGGCCGCCATCGCCGCGACCGCGGTCGTGCGAACGAGAGAGACATGGTGGACTCCTCCCGAAAATTTCCGCGGACACACTGATCCGCGATCGACCAGAAGAGCGGAGCAGCGACGTGCCGCGGTTCTCTCCTTCTCTCTCTCTCTCTTCCTCTTTCTGTCTCGTGGGGGCTTGATCGATGTGTCCCTCCCCCCTGGGATCTCTTTTTTTCGAGCGTGATTCGGAAATGTCGGTGATTTCTCGCGAAAATCGAGCTGAGGGGAAATCGAGAAAAGTGACACGCCGTTCGAAATACGAGGCGAGAACGGCGCGTGATCGACCGGGCGGCGTAGCGAGGCGAAGGACTACTTGGCTCCGGCGCACGGAATCACGATTCCGATCGTCAAAAATGTGCGAAGGTCGGAAAGTTCTGCGATCGATGTCAGAAACGGAGGGGTTAATTCGATGTTAGCGTTAATGTTAATTGTAACCTATTCAGTCTGACCGGACGCTCTGGCGTGCCAATCGAAAATGAAAACACGCTTGTTCGAATGATTCGCCGTTAAAACTCACCGCACGAATCATATTTGCAATTTACGTTGGCCGTGTGGTCTGTTTATTGAGTTAAACAATTGCATGATGTAGTAATTTTGTATATTTGTATTATGGAGAGTCTTTAAGATAGTGAGGTACATGAAAAAACTAAATCAGCAAAGGGCGAGTTGATCAATTGAATTCAGAATTATCGAGAATTTAAGATTATTATTTTAACACTTTTTTGATTATGATCGATTAATTTGTCTATATTTTTCTATGTTCCACTAGCCTTAGCGTAACAATGTATTTAGATTTTTCATCTATTTGTGTATTCAGTATGTTAGAAGAAAAATATTTGTTTTTTATTTGTTGTGCCAATGATTGTTGATGGAGTACTGTTAATTTATATTGTTACCATTCTGTCATCTAAATTTGGATTATACTGATATGATCCAAGAAGATTTTAACGTTGTAAATATGTACAAATATGTAAAACAAAAAAATATGTGTATATCTCATATATTTGGGACATGACATTCAAACTTTTCTTATTTATTTTCTTATGATGTCTCACAAATCTTTCAGTGGATTTTATGTTAATATTATTATTGAAGCAAATCACATAACAGATGTCATGATGATATAAATTTAATTCTATATTAGTAATACAAAATTTTATATTCCTGTGCTGTGTTGTGGTTCCCAAATTCATTGTGATACAATTCTATATGCATTTCTTTATACATATTGTAAATGCCAGATTTGATTCAAATATTATATAAATTAATATATAATATAAATAGTGTATTATAATTAATATTATTTTTTTCTAGGCACCTGTACCAGAATATGGGGCATTGGAAGCTAGACAAGAAAAAATTCTTGGCCAACTCGCAGACCTCAAACAGCAGGTGGTTATGCTATGTCAATTCTTGAAACAATCTGCTAACACAGGAATTCAGAAAAACATTCCACATGTTCAGGTACAAAACTTATGACAGCAATTTCAGTTAATATTTGCTACATTGTCCATGTTGAAATTACGTTTATATTTGTGATTATTGTACATATGTTGGTTTTATATCAATGAACAATTATTATTTATGATTTATAGAAACCAGTTGTCCTTGAACTAGTGTTGAATGTGAATCCAAAGAAACCACCGTACTCGATACTTGCTTTGCAGAAAATTTGGACTGACACTAGTATTAGAGTGTCGCCATATATTCATTCTACTATTTATCACGATCAAGTTCCTTTATTTTATACTAAATTAGGAAACAGCTCTGGGAATGTTATAAACTTGTCACTGATATGGAAAAAAGGTAAGATGATTAATTTTTATTTTAAGAGATGTCTTTAATAATAAATTTATTAATTCATTAATAATTCAGGATATATTAAAGAACTAAATTTCCTCTTTTAATCAATTTTGAAACCTTTCTCACTCTTTAAATCGGAAAAATTTTTTTCTTTAAAATTCAACTTCTTGTCACAGCTATTGGTTTATGATGTTATAGGCGAGAAATAACATACAATAATTTCTTTAAGACATACAGTTTTATTTTCTAGTTTTTTCTAAGAAATATAATTTCGTATTCTCAAAACTTGTAAAATGTGCGGAGAAACTGAGACTTTGTCCGATCTGCTACACAAAAATGAAATGATTTCTGAAATAACAGGTCATTTTTCGGCCAAGCGACTGTGACAATTGAACATGGCCAAAGATTATTTCAGAAATCAATTTCACACTTCTACGTGACGGATGTCAGACGAATGTCAGACGAATGTTTTAGTTTCCTATAGATTTTACAGATTTCAGAAACAAAATTATTATGTTTTTAAGGGAAAATTAAAAAATAAAGCTATATATTGTAACAAAATTATTATATATCATTTCTCTGTGATATAAATCGATATCGGCTATCTCAAAAAGCCAAGTCTTAACCGTTTATTCAAATATTTCATATTTGATCAAATTTCTTTCAGTTGAAGATTTTGGAAAGTTTGTAATCAAGGTGTGAAATCTTATCCCATAAAAGGCGAGGTC